GCTGCGGGACGGCCGTCCTGGGGCCCCTCCTGGAGCAACACCAGAGAAACAAGCCCCCTGCTTCTACAGCCAGGGAGGGGACTGACACCACAACACACACAACACACACAACACACACTCGCACACTTCAGACCAGCTAAGGACTGGAAAGACACATTTGAGTGATGTCAATGAACAGAACAAACAAAAAATACGCTTCTTTTTTTCCTAAGGAAATGAATCTATATGTATGTATATCTATCTATAAATGTGTCCATCATCATCAGTGTCTTTGTACTGCAGTGTCTCTGTTTGGCCTTCATCTGGCCCTCGAGGAGACTGTAGCTGCCCAGCCTCATGCCTGCGCGCCTGCGCTGAGGGCAGGGCTGTCCAATCCCCCCTGACAGGCAGCGGTGCCCCCCAAACGAGTGGGGGCAGCTCAGGCAGCGCTCGGCATGCTGCTTCCTTAACGTGCCTTCTGATGACCCTCCGTCTCGGAGACGGGCTCCACAATGCCCAGGCTCCGCCCGTCTCGGACCTGCGGACTGCAGAAGTACAGCTCACGTGACGCCAGCACATGTAAATACACTCAGTAAAGAAGGCAGAGAAGTCCTTATTATCATGAAATATGCACTGAAACGTTTATTTATGTGAAAATAAAATATGGACATATTTATTTCTTATTTGTTTTATTTTAATCTATGTTGGGCTTATCGTGTTTTATCTATCAGTCTGGGTCACCCTGTACCCCTACAGTCTGGAGATCAGTGGTCCAGTCTGGGTCACACTGTACCCCTACAGTCCAGAGATCAGTGGTCCAGTCTGGGTCATACTGTACCCCTAAAGTCCAGAGATCACTGTCCAGCCTGGGTCACACTGTACCCCTACAGTCCAGAGATCACCGGTCCAGTCTGGGTCACCCTGTACCCCACCAGTCCAGTCTGGGTCACACTGCACCCCTGCAGTCCAGAGATCACCGGTCCAGTGTCAGAGTCACCTTGATCTCGGAGACAGGGAGAGAAGAAACTGTTCTGTCACACTAGGACTGAGTGCAATATGTGTATCTTAATACTATTAGAATTGTCTACATTTGTCTTATTATTTGTTCTTTTTTCCCAATGCTGGGGGCGCCGGTGCTCCCCAGAGTGATTTCATGAACAGAGCGGAATGAGCTCTTCATTTATGGAAAATTGTTGTGCAACTGTGACGATGCCAACCAGGCCGAAGGGAAAGTTGGG